GATCAAATTTGACCTTTTTAGAGTCTCTTTAATTCAACTTCCCCTTACTATCCTTTTCTTATAAGCAAAGACCATCTTTGGTTTCTGTAATCTTACTTCTTACTAATAATTATAAATGCGAAAGTTTGGATGCATGGATAGATGGATATTTGATAAAGTTTGTAGCTTAAACGACTGAACGGACCTCAATGACATTTGGCGCAGATGTAGAGGATAGTTTGAAAGAACACATATGTTACTCACTTTTTTTTAATTTCACTCGGACGGAGTCGCAGGCAATAGCTAGTAATATCTCTTTCACCCATCAATTATTAGTTTTGTTATATTACAAGTTTTTTAAACTGATATTATTCAATATGCCACACAGGCTTAAAGGAGTGGATTCAAATATGATTATAAAGATTGTGGCGACCCCTATAGGGACATTATAATGATTCAATATTAAAAAGATTATATTTGTGTATTTCAGTTGAACCCGTGTCCAAAAGGCGTGGTTCGCGCGCTGTTGGAACACGGCGCACACATTGACACCGTTAACTACGAAGGCGAGACGCCCGAAGAAATCCTCAAAGCGAGCCAACAGACGCTCTTTTCTATAGTAAACCCTCTACATTACACCTCACTTAAATGCCTCGCAGCACGCACTGTTAAAAACTACAGACTTCCATACAGACATGTAGTTCCACAATGTCTACACTCGACAATTATAACACATTGATAATCTTTGCCATTTTAATATAAACTACATAATCTTTGCCATTCAAATGTAAACTACATAATCTATGTCACTTACTCTATGGTATGTTTTTGACAGACGAATGAAACGTTTTTAATTTTTCTCCATAATTACAGTCCACATATGTTCATTGGCATTTATAAATAGTTACTAGAAAAAATTACGTCCTTAAATGTAACGATTGCTCCAAATGACAGATAAATATTTTTATACGCCCAAAAGAAGCCGTCACAAATGACATTTGAAATACGCGAGAATTGACAGCTGTCATGTTTATAGTCAAATGTCAGATTGACATTTTGACTTTTTCAAGTAGTTTGTATTTACAAAGAAAATTGAATCTTTTTAATGTATTTGCTGTTAGATTTTCTTAACATGCACAAAATTACGTAGTTTTCTATATAATACGTTTTCTATAATGAAATATTGCGATATTTTATTAAAAATATAAATTGCAACCTTTAAATGTTAAAAAGTGATGTTTTATTGGTGATAAATTATTTAATATTGTAGATTACCACAGATTATAAAGAGTTAGCCAATGGGACTGTAAAACCTTATTACTTTGAGTCAAAACAATGTTTATTTAAGTTCATAGAATTTTTAGTGAATTTAATTTGACATATCTTTGCATAAAATATCAATAACTAGTCTTTGTTTTAATGTATTCTGGGATAATTTTCTAAATGTCTTGATTTTGTATGACGTTGATTTGTGAATTCCGCCCGTTACACTGATTTTTGTCTGTGATTTTTGATGTTTTTTTCTTTGTATATTTCAGTCGAGCCGGACTTGGTTGACTTTGACGGTGTGTTTAGGTTTTGTTTGAAACGATTTATTCTTGCATCGTATTGGATTGTATTACTCTAAATTTAAAATTGTTATAATTTCAATATTTCAGATTTAATTTCATATATGTTCAATACTAAGGTTACTTTGTTTTGTCAAAATTCTTGCATTGATTATGGTAATGTTCTCATATAAAAAAATTATATTTTTCATATTATTTTGACATTTTAGGAATTTTGAAGGTTAGAAAACACTACAATATTAACAAATTTAATGCAATATCATTTTAGTTTGGGTCAAAATTAGATTTTGTATTGTACTATTTTATATTGTAAAAATATTGTTTCAATACAATTGTGTTTTTTGCACAAATTTGTAACAGAGCCATCTAGTGACGATGCAACAAAACTCCAAGACTTAATCTTGAATCTTTATAAATAAAGCGCAAGTAGAAGCCAGAATTTTTTGTCAAAATATAATAGAGTAAATGCAATCTGTACGATTCGATACGCCATAATAAAATCGATTTTAAAATATATTAATTAAATTTATTAAATTCTAAATACGATTGTCTATAGTGTAAAGTGCGGAACTGTCCATACGTATATCATTGTAAAAATATTAGTATATAAGTAGTTAGATAAATAGAATAATAAAGGGATATATTTGAATAAAACGCTATAGTTTATTAGGATAAATTAAAAAGTGAAAACATTGTACAACAAAATATAGATAAATATCCACTTGCATTTCGCTATCGGATGTCTCGTGTATTTTTGTCATAGTATATTTTGAATTTAGTAGCGCTGCGTGCTTATATTAGATATTTTTGAAATTAATAAAAAAACGCTTTAAAATAAATAAGAGTTTTATTTTTATTTACCCCTAATTTTATAATATACTAAGTACATTAGCATTGTACAAAAAGCGGATTAAAAAAGTTCAAAACAAATAAAATTGAGTTTTATTCCGTTTCAACAAGGTTTTATTTCGCATATCTTTTTAAGACGTGTAAAGTAAAATTAAATCTTGTGTCAGTAGAAAATTGTTTGCGATAAAAATCTACTCTGCTCGACTCCGGTTTGTGTGAATGGACCCTTATTTTGATGGGAGTAAATTAAAGGTTCTGAAAACTAGATTTGCAATGAATATTATATTCAGTATACCTAATATCGAATGTTCGGCGAGCGACCGGACCGAATAGTCTCAAATACACAAAATAAACTAGAGAATTTCCCACTATTGTAGCTAGATGTATATAAAAATAAAAATAACAGAATTTTTTTTCGAAAAAGACAACTTAAATATTTGGTTATGTAATAAAAACATTGAAATTAAAATACTTTACGAGATTTTGAAAGAATAAGAAATGTGCCTAAAGTGACATCTGTATGTAACGGGTAATTCAAAAAGTTTATCCTTTTTAAACAATAGATGTCGCTAATCAATAGTAACGGGCGTAACTTTAAAATTCTACTTTTATTCGTTTTAATTACCTGGATCAAAAGTACATTTCAATACAAGTAGTTTGCAATTACGTTGATATAATTAAAAGAAAAAGTATTTGAGACAAAGAGATGGACTTTAAAAACATACTATTAAATTACGATGTTAACATAGAATAATTAGTAATTGATTCGAATTTTGTTTTAAAATATTATTGCGACCAATTACCTCCAAATAAAGTATCAAACACATAAAATATCTTTATGGCTCAATGAGAAATGAAGTGAATAACTGTGATTTAAGGCAATCCTCTTCTAAAAGGTTTCCGTCTTCGTTACGAAATCGTTTCTGTAATTACCCGTGTGTTTGCGAGGAATTTCACTCGAGCGATGAACGTTACCCGATAAACCGATTATACGACCTTCATTACATTATCATATAGAAAACAATTTTTCCATAATATATTAGATAGAATTGTAATAGTAAAATCAATAACTTAAAAGAGAAGGCAACGTTAAAAGTAAGATAAAAAAAAAGTTAAAAAAGATTGTGCAATATTTTATTAATGTAGAAAACTTTAGAAATATTTTAATGTTTCTAGTTTCTCATAATTAAGGCAACAAATGCATTAGTTTTTAGTAATCAAAAATAGTTTTTCAAATATTTATTTTGATACTCGATAACAAAAATTGAGTTAAACCGATTCATTACAGAACAAGCTGAATCGTAGAAAGGGGGCAATGATTTAAAAAGCGATTGTCGGGGAGTGATTTGTTGAAAATTCGTGTTCTCTTTTAATATAATTGTAGGTGGTTTATCTGTTGTGCGGATTACGTTCGGGGATTACGGACGCCGGCGGGCCGCACAAATTGAATTGTAATACTCCGCCATTATTAATAACAACGGACGGTTTAGGGTTGACGAAAACTTTACAGTCTAAAATATTTCGTTTAAATAATTTAAAACATTTACTTTTCTACAGACTATTCTATAGTTAAAACGGATAGACCGACAGTAAAAAATAATCCAAAATAACTTACAAATATTATAAATGCGAAAGTTTAGATGCATGTTTGTTAGAGTTTGTAGTTTACTGCTGCACTGATCTTGGCATATATGTAGAGGAAAGTCTGGAAGAACACATAGGCTTTTGTCTTTTTTTTCATTCCATGCAAATGAGTCGTGGGCGAAAGCCAGTAGATTATCAGATTTTGCACGTCTTCTCAACGTGAGTGATATACGGCCAGAGAATAAACCTCTTGGTTTATTTTTTCTAGTTAACGTTAAAGAAATGTGCAATTGAATACCATAAAAAAAACCTATGTCAATGCAACGAGAGTTGCAGATGTTTGAAGTTATATACCAATTAAAACGTATCTAGTTATTACTTTTGCTATAAATTAGCAATTAGTCGACATTGTTACATAATCGAGATAAATTTAACGAACGGCATAACCCTATCGTCTGATCAACGGAGCGCAATATTTTTTCCGCAAATTTTAAGCGACCCCCTTCGGATATTCCGCGAATCTGCCATATTTGTACAATCGTCTGTTTCAATGCCTTTTCTACTTAATAGTATTTCTAACGTCAGGCGCTTGCTGGACAATACCGTAGTCATAGGGAGTTTACTTTAACTTTGACTAGCTGTTGCTCGTGACTTTGTCCATGTGGAATTTAAAAATATAGCCTATGTTACTCACTGATAATTTAGCTTTTTAATGATGAAATAATTCTTGAAATCGGCTCAGTAGTTTTTGAGTTATATCAATACAAACAAATCCAAAAATACAAATCTTTCCTCTTTGTTATTTTTGATGTAGGGTACATTTAACTTTGGACTTAGATTAAGATTGTGTGAATTATTGGCATTCCTAGCCTAAGATCTATCTTAGACATTTAGTTACATTAATATGGTCTTATTACAGGTAGTTTTTTTTTACCTATTTTAAATTTTTTGACTCAATAATCAGTTTGTATAATTAAAAATCTGTCTGAGAGCTTTTCCATATATCTAACTAAATTAAAAATGTCTTTAAAATGTTCGGATAATATGTTTTATCTATACTAATATTATAAAAAGGACAAATTAGTACTTTTACATGTTAGAAATAACTCAAATAATTCTTGACAGATTTAAAAAAATTCTTGCAGCATTAAAAAGCTGTTATCACCAGTAACATAGGTTATGGTTCTACTATTTTTATAAAATTCACGCGGACGAAGTCGCCAGTACAACTAGTATGATACTCGTATTAAGATAGCCTGTTAAGCAAGACATGGGTGTGTAAAATCGAGGCGTCATAAAAATGCATGAGGCATAGGAAATGGGCAGCTAACAAGAGCCGTCTTGTTTACGTTCCCCTGTTATTCCGCGCCGACGGTAATTTTGACAAACGACCAACAGCCCCTTCCCGCCCACTGCTTATCCCAGCAAGTACACAAACTTAAGACTAAAGAAACTTCGTTTTGCAACTTAATATCAAGTTAAATGATGCTTCTTAGGGTTATCTTATCTTTACTAATATTACAAAGAGGAGAGATTTGTATTTGTCGATTTTTGTATGTATTGAAATAACAAAAAAAACTACTCACCATTTAAAAGCTACGCTATCAGTGAGTAACATAGGCTGTTTTTTTTTTATAAAAAAAAAATTATAGGACTTTTTGGTAGCTGGAAAACTTTTGAAATCCTCACAGATTTCATTATTCGCATTCCAAAATTTCAACATTACTTGATTTTGAAA